TCAGTGTAGATTGACGGTGATTGAGACTAGATTACAAAGACCTTGAGTCGCTTAACACCCGATGCTGGATTCATTGACCGTTATTCCTCCGAGAAATTTTGCCGAGGCTCGGCTAAAAACGCAAAACGATCCTGGCCAGGTCCTTGACAACTTTTAGGCGTATGATAATTTGCCGGCGTGTGCATTCGCATCCAAATATCCGAATTAAGCCTCTCCAACTGGTCGAACAAAAATATTGAGATACCGGACTAATAAAGTAATTCGACAAAAAAGGACATAAGTAGAAATAAAAAGATGGATAAAAAGGGAAAGAAGAAAATAAGGGAAAAAAGATGATAATTTGCTGATCTTTAACTGTATTAGAGCGCTTCAAAGTCTTTTCGAAAGTCTTTGCTTTGTATTTCTGTGTGAGTTTTATTTCCAAAAGAAGACACAAAGACTTTTGGAATGTTCTAATAGAAATGTTTCATAGAATAGAAAGTAATAGGACGATCGTTACAGCAAGAAAAGTATGCAGCACAAGTAAACCGTTGCATCAGTACACGTCGATGAAATGATTATTATTATTATTCAAATGGGTCTGCTTCGATATTAAAAGGCTCGTTTAGATTCACTGTGCTAGCCGCGGCTCGTTCGTTGCCATCAATTAAACGAGTACACTGAAGCCAATACGTTCGTAGAACTTTGGACAATTTTGATAAGGACCCAATTGATTTATTTTCCTTACGTCCAATGTTCTCTGATTAATCTTGTTGCACGGTGTATTAATAACAATATAGTATAGTAGCGCATATGTAGTGTCAATCGAGGTAAACACTCGACGATGAAGCAATCAATGTTTAGCATTGCTTATATTCAACGATATAAGCAGAATCAACTTTTTTTCGTCCGTTTCGACCAGCGTAGTATAGTATTTGTTGTAATCGACATTCATTCATTATTACCGCATATTTTATACTGTTTATCGTGTTATAAATTCACATATTAATAGTATTACTGCAACATAATACCGTAATTGGTACTCCGTATCTTCGAAATTAAATCGACAAGGATACGTATTTACTGAGTTCGCGAGTAATTATTCTATTCTTTATTTTGTAATATTATGATGTTCACGATATTAAGAAATAATGCTTAATCTTGCTATACTCGGATACTGTTTATCTTCCAATCTTGCTTTCGTTTTAACAAAATAAAAGACTGAAATGAAGTAATACACTAAAAATTAGAGAATCTATAAGCAAAAAAAAAAAATGATTAGATGCAAGAAATTGGAAATCCAAGTAAATTTGAAAATTTTCTACCGATAGGGAAATACGATTCGAAGGTTAAAATAGATACACTAGAACAGTATCGAGTATCTCTTGAAATCAAGTCCGTGAAAATGAGTTTTTTATCGGTAAATACACAGTAAAACTCATAGACAGAGAAAACTAGTTTCACTTCATTTGGCCATATGGATACCGTTACCCGATTCGAAAAATACCTGTCGACGATACGTGGACAACTACAGTGGCATATATTTGACTATTGCGAGGTACAGATTTTACGATGGACGAAGTTTATATAACTACATAAAGCTGATATCGCCGTATCACTATCATATCGGAATAAAAAGAAAAAGAAGAGGAATAAATGCTACAACTAGACCATGAAGTTGGTCAATGACCAAGAGATTTCAACGAATAAACCATCATCATTAACTGGTATTATCAAGAAATTAAGAGACTTTCAAGGACACGATATCTGGTTAAATATACTTCTAGATATTGCAGACAATCATTGAAATTGTTATCTTGTTCGCAAAGATCTGAAACTTTCGGAGTAAACCGAATTAGATAATAACCTACATTCAGAAGAATAAACAGACGATTGTAATTACTGAAAAGAAAGACATATGTATTTTAAAAAGCGTCAGGTCATGTGGCCCATCGAGCGTCGTTAACGAATGCGAATAACAATTAGAAGTCTTATCACGGGCCGAGCTCTATATGAACGGTCTTTTATTCTCTCTAAATTTAAAGACGTTCTTTCGTTTCTTCGATCTCCTTGGTGTTGTACAATAACTGTTAAAAAGAAGAAATTGTGTAATTCATAAAAAAGAGGAATAACAAATTCGTTATTTCTTCTGGTATTATGCTGGTTATTTATATCGAGGATAGGAATAAATTTATATGGGATTTGAATCATAAAATTTTCAGCACATAAAGGGTTAACGTAATTAATAAGAAAAATCAATTTCGATATAAAATAGAAATTAAGTGATCGTTCCAAAATGAACGACAATTTGATGTTCGTGGTATCCACAAACTTGAAAGGATCTCGCAAACTTTCCAATTCACACGTTGTAAAAACCGCATGCCTTAAACTCGATCGATCAAGTTGTAGGTATACGATACGGTATGGAACGGAAAAGCGCAATACGAAGACAGAAATATCGCAAGGTATCGGACGCGAAATCAACTTGATGCGTTCCGCCGGGTTAAAAACATCGATCCGCGTCTTTATCGTCATGGTAACACGTGCACTTATACAATTATCCTTGTGTGAGGCTATTGGATGTATGTTTCCATATGGCATAGTGACGGTATGCATGCACACACTTATTCACATAAGTGCGCCGATTACGTACGAACGTGTACGTACCTCTCCTCTATTTGTTATCTTACTCTATCTTCCTTGCTCTATTCTTATCACAGCATGCTAAGAATGCATTTTCACGGTTTCACTAACACGCACTTTCCGTGTGACATGCGCGAAACGAACTGGGATCTCGTTCGGAATAGTATTGAAATAATTTTATGATCGAGAATTCCGCTCAATTAAATCTATAAATATCTCGTAAAATTATCCATGTAGTTAAAAGTGTTTAGTCGTAGTACACAAACTACATACATACTATTTTTAGAATACTATTACCGGTATATGAGGTGGCGAACACGAAAATATGATATATTTTCAAGGAAAGTGAAAGCAACTTTTGGTCGAACGCATAATAATATTGTATGAGATTAAAGCAAAACGAGACTATGTCATTAATGCGTACATATTAGTAATGCATATTGTGCGAAACAGGTTATACATACATACATATATATGTACTGGCGTGGATAACACCTAACGATTAATGTTGTGGATCTACATATATATACATATCATATATAATAATAGTTATATGGTGCACTCTTTCTAGTAAATCCACGCAATTAAATATTAATTAACGAATATTGTTGTGTAAGTGACTAACATTCTTGGAAGCTTGTTTACCTAGAAATACGAACGTAACATATACAATTCGTTTTCTACAGGAAAAATGTAATTACTTATAAAATTAATAGCTACGCAGTTAATATGTAAAAAGGCCAATGTCTGGCAAACTCTAACGTGATAATATTCTACGAAGATATGGTGTTTCATTCGAGTGAAGAAAACAACTATTGTTAAACGATAACGACGATATTTCATCGTTAATAACAATGCATGTCCATCCAAGAGACGAAGTTCAGATCCATTGATAATAATCGTATACACATTCGATGTATAGTCAACATTCGCTCCTCATTCTTAAATTCACTTGAATTTGAAACCGAATGATGTTACTATCCTATCCCATTATTTAATTCATACCAAGGCCGAGTATTAGGGAAATAACTGAAGTAACAGAAGCAACAGTGAATCATGTTTACTAACACACACCAAAACGAAATGCATTTATACATGCAAGCGTGTGAGGCATCCATATTGAAAACAGCATAACCTCACTAGCTGCTTTGTAGCATGTATTATCCTTGGAAATAATGTATAAAACCACAACATTCTATCTTAATCACGATTACTATTTAACTTAATGATTATTACTTCAACAAATTAGCCGCCATCTTAGTGGAGTAAACTACAAATACACGATTCTTAAAGTGTGCACGCTTTTGTACATAACCTTGAAACTGACACATTCCAATCACGTATTCTATGATTAAATTTCATAAACATAATACGAAAGATATTTTTTTACTCCAAGAAATACATATTTTTTAAATACATATTTATCTTGACATTTTATGGTTCAAACATTTATGCTTCTATGAATTTTTGACACGCATATAGAAGTATCGTTTACATTGAATACACTTTTGTTGGAAATTTCTCTTATATTTATTCACTACATGTAAGTTAATATCACGTAATTAATTTTCACATGTTCGGCCATGTTGTGTTGATACCATGGAAAACGATTAGAGGGACCGAGAACGCAGCAGGGCTATCTCGTCGACTGGCAGGCGAACCATTTCGCAAATTTCCTGGTATACCAATCTATCCACTTACCGGCTGTGGCTTTGGTGTTTTTCCCATGATGCCTCCGGTTCTTCTTCTCCGATAATCGGCCCTTCAGTAACATCGTACACGCACTTTATCACGATTTTTATCACTTGTCTTACACTGGCTACGCATTATTATTCACCCACACGGCAGCCATTTGCCCTCTACCTACTCAGCTATAAAGCCTGCCTCGACGTTTCGTTTAGCCTTTGGCTTTCGGCCATTCAACAGCCTATGACGTCACGTAGATCTTGGTGACGTATCTATGCTTTCCTTATATTTGAAACATTTAATTCTAAAATTATAAAGCTATGAGAAAATTGTAAGCAATTTGTTACGTGCAATATCTTATACGAAACTTGCTAACACTTAATATTAATATAAGAAGCAACATTATTATTATAAGAATGTCATATATTTTTTTCACAATAAGCGGGGCCTTGTGATTCATTACAAATTAGGCGGCACTGGCAAGATTTTGAAATAATCTGTTTTATCGATAGTCGGTTATATCTAAATCATGAGTTATAAAGTCGCGGCGCCAAGATCTATGCGTTATAAAAAAATGTTTAAATTTAAGTTAAAATAACTAACATTTTGTAAAATGAAGATATTCTAATTTATGCTATATATCAAAGAGGAGCACTCAAAGGGAATTTGTAATAAAAACAAACAAACGTAAGTGCGTGTAGGTATGTCCGTTTACTTCACACAATCAGGTTCTCTTTCACGAACACATTTATCCAAACTAAAAATTGAACAAAGAATATCAAAGGCAATCAATATATCGTTAAGAAATTGGTTTCTCGCGATATATTTCTGATCCAATAAAAATTTATTTTGCAATAATGGTTTTGCAAGAATTGATTTGCTTCTTCGCACCACTATAAGACAATTACCAAAGCTCACAAGAAACCATACGTACATATCATAACCGTATAATATATATATATACCATATATATATATATACCATCGCGTAGAAATCTATAATATTTATATATCATAACGTAGATCGAAAAAGACAATCATAACATACATACGTCGGGCATCTATATAATAATTATACGAAATACATTTTGCAAAAGATCACAACAATTATGCAAAAATAGACGTTATTCGACACGTGTCATAACTACAAGAAAAATCAAAACTTTTCGTCCTTTTCTTGACATTGCAACACGTGCCGAATTAACCGCAACACTCAGCAATGTAGGTTACAGTTATATATTCGTCGACGTAAAAGTTCTAATGCTTCTTTTTTCCTTTCAATCTCTGTTTTTTAATTAATTTATTTTTTCTCGCGTTAACATTTCTGCAATAGCCCTTTGTAAAAATTTTTTGTGTAGTATCAATATCTAAGACCGTAGGATATCGGTTGCAATATCACTGCGACATATTTTCTTTTTACTCCTTTTATTTTGTGACGATACCGTGACCAAAGCTAAAAGTTTCCTTCCATTTGTGGTATCCCCATTATATATATACGAGTATCTTAGAAGACCGAGGAACCATCAGCTGACTATTTCATTACGCGAAGGAAAATTTCTGTGAAAACTTTGCCCTGATACGGATTTTGTTATATTTTTAAATACTTCCAGCGATGATATATAATGCGAACGAAATTAAGGCCCCTAAGCCACGGTATCCATACAAGCATAGAGGAATCAAATGTCTTTCGCTCCTCCTTTCTCTCTCTCACACTCTCACTTAAAGACTACACATTTTGACAAATAATTAAGTCATCACAGAAGCATCATATTATCATATTCAATTAGACTACATATTTCGTAAATGTTGTTGTTCTGTTAGCGCAGTAATATTACAATGATCGAGTACAAAATGGTTTTAAAGTTTTCAAGCCTAGTATAAAGCACTATTATATATATTATAAGTGTGCTTACATGTCGGCACGAACCATACACATATACTTATCATATATGTACTGTACTGTACACACATATGGTCGCAATTACCACTTACGATCTAATTGTAGCGGTAGTACTCTATGATTAATCTACGAATAAAAGCAAACTTTTTAACGAACAAAAGCAGAAATCAAAAACTACGTAAGAAAAAAATGAAGGATAAAAAGAGTCTTTATCAGGAGAGAAAATTTTTTAACGTTTAACTCCGATAATCACTATGACCTTTTTTAATTTCAAATATAAACAGAATAGTTTTTTAACGGGGTAATTAATGAAATAACAACATTGTAGGTATCAAAAGAAGGAAATGTACTGAAACAAGCATTATAAAAGTTGTAAAATATTAGACTCCAACATACACAATTGATCACAAACATATAAGATATTTTTAATGCCACCTTCTAGAAGATCCACAATCGTGTAAGTGGTAGGCACATTATAACTGAAAATATTTTACATGTCCTATCTTTCAACCGAGGTTAGGATTAGGTTAAGGTTAGGGCTTACGTCTATGTATTCGTGTACATTTAAAAAAAAGAAATGAGTGTAGTTAGATAAAGACAGTGATATTCTTTGCACGAGTAGTAAGTGGGAGAAAAATAACCAGTTAATTCTCCATAATATAAACGTTTCTTTGAATCATTTTGAATGTTTTATCTAACTGTAATAAAATAAAGCCGTTAAAATTGCAAATCTCTCCAACTACGATTAAATCGCTTGCATTAAGTTCCTTAATTTTCTTCCAGCGAACGAAAATGGCACCAAGCGTAATGGAGTCTCGTAAAGCACAGCGAGTGCAACTCCTTAGTTTTAGTTTATTTCAAAATTCAAACACGTAACTCCGACGATCTATTCAGCGAGTGACTCTGCAAGCGGTAGTCAAATCCCGCTCTCCTCTTTCCCCAATTTTATAACGATGAAAAGGTATTTTAACGAGGATAGCGATCAAGAATGACGTTATGTTTACCCAGAACTGGCAGTTTCCTTTTCAGCGGGCAGGACAGATTGCTCGGACAGAGCTGCCTTATTCTGTCTTACCATCTCGGCGCGCCTCTCCTTTAGAACAAGAAAAATAGGAATGATATTTTAAGCGTAAGTTTACGAGATTCAACTATTCTAAAATAATAATGTTTAAATGTATCATGCTAGAGGTGATATTAAGCTAACATCCATCAGGTATAGTAGCTCATAAATGCAGGATCATGCTGAAAAGAAAATGATAAAAAATTAGATATATAATTATACATAATATAACTGAATTCCTATGAGGAATATTTTCTGCAACATAATATGACAAAGCACGATTAAAATTCATTAAACGTTCTAATGATAACCGTATGCTACTGAAGTTCATAAAATTTCTACTGAAACTCAATCAACGAAACGGGTATAATATAAGCCAATATCTCATGGTGGTAGGAGGTGAGAGACAATAAGAATATTGAATCAACAAAAAGAGGGCGAAATTACATGCTGGCGAATAGCCTGCACACGACGTTGAATCTCTCGCTGTCGGTTCTGCTCCGCAGTAGAAACCCTCTTGTCAAATTCGAACTTTTTCACCAGAAGTTCTCTCGTGGCGCACTCATCCGCCATCTGACGCACTTTTGCTATCTTCACAGTGTTCTAAACGACCATTTCAAATTCCCTTATTGGGTAACATTGTCGACAGTGTGTAAGAAAGGATTTCCACTAAGAAAACAACCAAGTTTGGAAAACTACATTCCCGTGTACTCGTGTTTTCAAAACTTGACCAAAACAGGTGTTACTTCTACAGAAGCGAGAAATCCTTCCTGGTAGTTGCCAAAACAATCTAATAGAAAACCCATAAAACTAATACCAAAGTCTAAGTTAATGAATAATGCATACTACTTACATGAATGCGCAGCTTCTCTTTCTGTTCGCGTTCAATATTCTGACGGCGTTCGTGAGCTTGATCTAACTTGCCTTGAATCTGAGATTCAAGTTGTTGCACACGCTCGGTTAGTCCTTGGCGTACGCGGGCAACTTGCTCCTCCTAGTAATAAAAAAATGAGATTAAATAATATATAAAAGGGATATTTTATTTTACTAATCAATAATATCGAAGACTGACATGTTCTTTTAGACGATCCAGCATCCTCTTAATATTCTCGTCCCGTTGAGCGGCGGCAGTTTTCAGCTTTTCTTCAACGGCACAACGAACCTCCTGAGTCTGCTGTTCAAGGCTCAAGCGAGTTTTCTCTACGCTTTCTAACTATAATCAAAAATAGAAAAAACATGATAACATTTATTCGATGAATATATGCAAATAAAGGAAGATCTCAACTAACGTGCTCTTTCAACTTGTTTTTCAGTTCCGCAATGTGCGCCTCTCGCTTCTCTTCTGTATTATTCATCTTAGCATCTAAAGATTCACGCGTCGCAGCAATGAAAGCAGCGCTAAGTTCATCTTTTTTGCGAGCTGCCTCTTCAATTTTGCTAAGCTTAGCAGCAAGAGCAGCAAGTTTATGAGCTTCCAAAGAAAGTCTTCTTTCCTCCGCTGCTCGAAGCTTGTCTTCAATAGCGACTTGTTGAGTCGGACTTGTCTGTGGAGGTGACGGTGCTCTCTTCTGTACTGTTGGCTCTGCTAAGATTACCTCATAGCACAATCCACCTTTGGACTTCTCTTGGCATCGAATCTCAGTTGCTATAAACGCGTTAATAAGCAAAATGTATCGGTAAATATATTGTTAATTTCAAATCCTTGGAATTATTCAGAATTATTAATAATATTTGCTTCAATATATTAAACATACTAACTTGAGTACAATTTTACAAATTAAAAACAATTATTCAAATGTTAACATAATTGAAGAATTAATTTTCATTAAATCAACCAATTGCATAAGTGCAAAACAAATTAATTATCGCTACTCGTAACGTAGCAAAAATCTACATACGCATAACGACGGGATGGTAAACCTTCATGATTCATTAATTATTTTACGCGTCCCCCATCGAGCAAGGTGCAATTAAAAACATCCAGTCCCCCAGGCCGGCGAGACACAATCCACTTTGGCGGAAGATTTCTCGATCCCATTCATCTCGGGTTCGCTTCGAAGTGCACGAGTTACGGAAGTATGACTCAGACCACAAGAAGGAAGGATCGATCAGCCCACGAGACGATTGTCTCTAGGCGCCGCGACGTCTAGCGTCGGCACACGCACCTTTCAGCGGCCACCCTACCGTACACCGCAACGGAGCGTTCTCCGACATTCGCCGCCTTCGATTTATAATTCACCGGCGACATATTGGCGACTATTCGAGTCGAGTTCGTTGCACTTTGCAGCGAGCGCAATTTGCACGGAAAATCGATCTGTGCATATTTCAATCGGCTGTGCAATTTTCAATCGATAAAATACCGTCTAGCAAGCAATAACATATAAAATAACAAGGATATATCGTTAAACGATAAAGCTTTCTACTTTCTTTCCACATCATCGACTTTATACGGTTCTTGAGTAAAAGTCAAGCGCTGTTAATTAAACTTAATTCAAACGCGATTAAGCGTCCGATTACGTAGGTACTGGTGCAATTCGAAAGTTAATGGATCGACGGCAAGACTCGTTAATTAAAAAACGACGTATACTCACTGATGAACTTTACTTTCTTCGGTTGCTTGGTTCGCGGTTTTCCTTTGCCGCTGGGCTTCTTGAAGGGCGCATTGCCCCTTCTGCCTCCCGCTTCGAAAATTGAGAATCAATGAGTGTCGTATTACCGTAGGGACCAGGGAAATAGGAATCGTGTTTTAATTAACGGGAAATCGATGCAACCGTCTCCTATCGGTTAACAAAGGTCAACAAAGCCAAGGGTGGCCATCTTGGGCCGCACCCCGATCGTAGCGAATTTTGTGGAAGCTTTCCTCATGGAGCACATTCGTACCGACTATTTCTTAAATCTGTATAGGTATCTGCACAAGCTCAACATAAGTCAAGATTTAAGATGGGAAATATCGATTCGATCAAATTACCGTGCTTATTGTGTTAAAGTATATGCCAAGCTTTGAAAATAATAAAACAAAAATAATATTAACACACCAAATTATGTAATATTGAGTTATATAAAAAAATATAATGGAGAATAATGATGCTACCGGTGTAATAAACTTTTGATGTGGATAGTAATATCGATGATACACGAGTACACTACGAGTACCAATTGGTAGAGGGTAGAGAAATTGATCGAACTGCAGGTACCTAAGATAATACGATACCAACGTGATATCGACCACCGTAGACTGCGGTAAAAATACACCGACCATCAAGTTCAAAAAACATGTATTTAAAAGGAGAACGTTTGAGGGAGGTTCGAGGAGGAAATCGTCACGTTTCTCTGTGCCTCAAAAGTTATTTAAACATAACATATTCGAACCTTGTCAAAAGCAAAAGGAGTTATTGATAATTTATATTTTTGTAATTGAAAAAATCAAGGCAGGTAAAACGAATAAAATAAACAAGGAGTTGTTACAGAATTGATTTAACGATCGCGATATCAAAGGTAGTAAGTAGCGAGAATGAATAGAGGTGAAAAAATTCCACGTAAAACTGCATGCAACGATACCATATAAAATTAGATTAAAAGAAATGTCTGGTCACGAATTTAGCGGATCACTTCGATCGCAGGAGTCATTCACCGCGATATCGACTCCTCCTCCCCTACTAGTTCTCTGCATAGCCCGCAAATGAATTACCATAGAAACAAAAAGATAAAAAATAAAAGAAGAAAATACGAAGATCGGTTGCACATCCTCCTTCCTAGCAAAGACGACAATTTTTATCAAATACAGAACTCACCTACGATGCCCAAAGGTGCTTTGCAGCTGTGACAGAAGCACTGCAGCACTGAATCGCGCACAAGACCGATCAGCATATTTCTAGCGTTTGTTTACTCGCTGCTGCCCGCGAATCGTGGTCGGTATTTAGCGAAATTAAAGAGCTTGGCGAAAACGGCTACGAGAATGAAAAAAGGGAGCGCAGAAGAGTCGGCGAGAGGACACGTCCAACGAGCAAGAAGAAAGGCCGGAAGTGGCTGAACTCGTATCTGGGGCGGTGGCTGGAGGGCGACTGATCCGCACAGTGCGCCACGACGCCGGGCGTCGCTCAATATCCACCGACTGGCGCCTCTTGCGCCCCTAGTCGTGGCAGACCACTCCCCACTGCAGCGAGTAGCCTACCCGACGACAAGCCACCCTTCCACCTCTACTAACCTCCAACCTCCAACCTCCACCTCGAGCAACCTTAACATGCCTATATCGTGGACCCGGCTGCCGGTCGCTAGGCACGTGTGGAAGCTACGTGGAGGCGTAAAATACCATCTGTCTAACTCCAACCACCGTCAAGCTTCTTATACTTTGACTCAACCTCGTACCACCAGCCTGCTGATCAATGGACGATATCTTCTTATCACGATCTTCGCCACATTCCGCAGTTTGTCGAAGCATAGTCCCGCGTTTAATTTTTGCAATGTTAGAATTAGTAAGAATTAAAGTTAGAATTAGATCATTATCGAAAATATTGAAATTGAATTTCGTTTAACTGTAGCTGGAATATCTATCATCGAAGATATGATAGTTCTTACACATATAATCGATAGATTTCTTTCGAACATTTTCTTTTGTATAACTGATAGAATTGTAGGAAAATGTAATAAAATAATATCGTAATATTGTACAGAGGTGAGATTACAGTATCTAAAGATCTTTGAGTTAATCATTTTCCCGCAGCATATCGATTTGAAAGTTTGCGAATATTTTATATAACCGGCGCCCTATTTCGCAACTATAAATCAAGCCCTACCGCTCGCTAGATCCTGCCCTTGCTTGGTTGCGACACCGAGGATGCGATCTTCGAACTGACGACTTTGCAGTATGCGCCTTGAAGAGCATTTGTAGAGTGCTGAGAAACCTTGTTTCGATTGTTCCGGTATCTGTGTTAAGCACTTCTACTTGAATTTACTTGAACCCTCGGAACACACAAAAGCCTCTTAATTTCCTGACATTTGATAAAACTTCAACTTTGACTTTATTGTTATATTTCTTCGATCGACGTAGAACGTGATTCCGTTTCGCGAGGAATAATTCAGTCGTTCACCCACCCTCGTATCTAAACGATCCATCAATATTTTTTGCCCTTCTCGATAGCTCTACATTGACACTCGAAATAGATTGCTCTTTTTACGAAACTGTATCTTCTGTTTTGTCTATGGACACACCCTTCGTATCTTCGGATCCGACTGACCGTACATCGTATTCATCTTTTTTTATCCTCTGTGGTTATTTTTCGCAGTATTTTAATAATCCCACGAATTGGTAAAATCGGTCGAAACAAATGTAGAAAACAATACTAAAACAAATCGAAGCCAGAAAATGTAGGACGCAAACGATACTCGTTGTTCCGTAAACTTTTCCATTTGACAGAAACGATCGAACAATTGCAATGTCGGAACTCCGTGACGCATTACAATCGAAGGATATGCCGTAAAATGAATGAATCTCCTACACGTGGATCGATATCGTGGAATATTTTCAGAACTCGGAACGAGGGAACAGGCGATGTTAATAATGCAGTCGCCCCTTTTTCTACTGGTCACGAACCGTGGTAAATTGCGCAGAAATCGGAGTGACGTATTCTAATGGAAGTACCTCGAAACCGAATCTCGCCGTTTGCCAAGGATTCTTTTTAAATTTCAACCTTTCTGATATCTTCATTTAAATCTCACTGTACAGCTGACAGCAGATGATACTAATACTATTACATTTCCCTTGTACACCAAAGAAAATCATTTTATTCTCAAGCAAATAAATAATAAGTAACAATTGCCTGATAGCAATTCGTTAAAAAATCTATTTACCCGAAGAGGAAAAGGAGATCCATGGAATGTCTCGATCTCATACGATGTTTAATGAGTTTCACTCGCTCGTTACGTTTAATTGGATGATTTAAAGAAGCGTTAATGAAAAGAAAGACAAGAAATAGAAGTAAAAGTTGTAGTTGACCAGTCAAGAAAGGTGCATCGTTTTAAAATATGGTTTATCGTCGCATACCCTTTAAGGTAGGAAGAAATTCAACGGTGAGTTTCACCGAGGGAAATCACTTATGGACATTTCATCCGATATATCTTGCACCAGACAATCAGATTAACCTACGCACTTCGATGTTACCATGTGTACGCTGTTTAAATACTACCGAGAGTTAACCGAACTGCTCTCTTTCACGCGTGTAAGAGAAACTTGAATCTCATCCTTCGGTACGACGAGAGAAGCCGATCTGAAAAGAGCGAGGAACGAGGCTTCAAATCGCACGCTAGCAGCTGACACAGCGTTCAATTGTGAAACAGCATTATTTATCGATACACAACACTTATGCGGGTCCCGTTACACCATGTACAGTCCGATAATGAAAGATCAATACAATCACTTTCCATATAATTATTCGCATTGCGAAATTACAGATAGCTATAGAATTGTCGCATTCAATTAATACATAAAAAATCTATACTTAACCCATGGAGCACGTATGTTTCGTTATATGTATCTTACATTATATTCCATTCTGTAAAAAATTTAGAACAAACCTGGAGATAGGTTGTAATGCAATGATTATTTTTTAAATTTCATATAATCCATCGTTTGATCATTTTTTAAATTTCATATAATCTTTTGATAATTTTTTAAATTGTGTTTAACTCATCATTGTATCATTTTTTTATATTTTATTTAATCGGTATTGACTATCAAAGCCTTCCAGAGGAAAAAAATGTTCAGCTCCAATATGACAATCATAAAAAGTCACGCTTATAAATATTGACTCTACAGTTACAAGGAAACTTTAAATTACGTCTGAACTAATATATCAAGCAATCTTAAGAGCTGAAGTATATAATATAACTATAAAAAGAACAAAATGTGAAAATACAACAATTTATCATGTTTAGATAGAATAAATACTCTATTTGCACAAATATAAAAATATCGCAACAGCGATTTACTGAAGAAACACATTTTTATATATTAAAATTGCTGGTAGTTGAGAACCACTGAAAGGCGTTCAAGCACTGCAGTTGAGACAAGCTGCAGTTGCCACGGTGAAGTGCAGGCTGCACTTCTCCGAGGACGCCAATGGAGGGCTCTGACCTCTTCTCAGCAACTATCTACTTTTCGCTGCCTTAGGGTGTGTTCCTACTGCCATCTAAATTGCCTTCCTAATTAACGATCCTTTGTCGTACTGACTTTGTCATCCAAAAGTGTAAAAATCGTATTACATACAATTCACGACTACCTTTTTATTCGACACGGAATTTTGGCTCATTGCTCGTGGCGATTTACGAAACTCGACAGAACAATGACTGGAAGAAAGTCGTCGTTACAAATATATAAATATGTATATAGGTGTATCGAACTATCGTATCGTAAATAACATCGTTGTGTAGTACATACTGATTGTAGAAGATCGAACAATGTATACATGTATATACTTAACGTGCATGGAATGTATATTTGATAAAATATATTCATTACTTTCTTAAAATAAGCTATCAATTTGGATAAATAACAATAAGAAACGTAAACATATTATGTGTTATATATAAGATGTATAATGTACATGTCACGTATATATTGTATACCTTATCGCAATTCTTTGTTAATACTCAAGATAGTATGATATAGATCACAAATATCTGGAGTTAACTGGAGAAATTGTTATAGGAAATAATCGATTAATATCTTTGTTCAGAGATTTCATCACTTACATTCGTTGTTAACAGGCGACTCAGTAGCCGTAGCCATTGCTGCCGTAGCTGTATATCACTGTAAAAGAATATCTTCCATTTTATAAACTGAGTTTGAAAAAAGCTAGATAGTATTTTTTGCGAATATTTATTTCTTGTTTCATGTAAACTACGTTAACTTTCGTACATGTTTCGCAATTTTTAATGTAATAATCCCATCTAGAAAGTTCATTTCAAACAAAGGAGGTATATAAGGAAACTATATGCTATTTATATTGTGGCCAAATTCCTCAAGGATCGAAAAGATTTTATTCCTGGAAGAAGTGTCTTATAATACACCTGTATACCATGAAAGGGTAATAACTTTCTAGGAAAAGACAAGGCATTATTGCGTGTTATTCTTACATAAACGAAATAAACGGTATTTGAAATTATTCGAAGCTGTCTGTACGATGTACAGTATATAGAGTGCAATGAACCAGCCTCACGAATATATGTCAAATTTACTTTGGCTTGACGTTCAGTGACTTCACGAAAAATCGTTTTCAGTATTCTCTTCTATATTTTACGAAAAATATTATAATAAATTTATTTAAATACAATCACAGAAAGTCGAAGTTACGATTACTTCTACGCATGATCGCGTTCGAAAAAACATACTGCAGTCACGCTGTAAATCGAATGCGGAAGATGTCGATTAGGGTTATTGTACAAAAACAACAGCACTCTCTTTGTTTGGTATTGAATATTGATTAAGCATAAACTAGAATAAGCAGTGTCTCTTTGTTCGTACTCGGTGGCGTCCCTTTATCACCTCGTGAACTTACCGTCATAAATTGGAAATAAACAAATTAACTTACCTGTTTTCCCTTTAAAAGAATAAATAAGTAATTATTGAAGAGTAAAAGTAGATCCTGCGACAGGAACAATCACGCACGCACTTGACAATGCTAGGACTGCTAAGAGATCTGAACGGTCGGTGGACTTGCTGGCTTGCTGGCTGCTTTTATTGCGACATGCAAGTATCTCTGTGTATTTCAGCGATTCACACTGGTGAACGTTCGGCTACACATACGACATATACGTACATTTTGTCAAAGTGCTCGAACATTCGTGAGTTCTCATTGGTTAAGCTAAGTAATCGGTTCATCGAGATTGGTTCGTTTGAATTTGAAGCGTTGGCTGAATTGTACCAGGACGTGTCACGCGGGTCTTTTACTACGCATTCGCAGTACCGTTTTCATTGTTTAAAAGATAACCATTGTAAATACAATGTACTTAAGCAAGGTAATCACAGTTTCCTTAATGTATTCTATTCATATTTACGTTATATCACATTATGTCTTATTAAGATATGTTTGTCATTATTTATCATAAATACATAATTCGATAATATTTAATTATATACTTATGAATTTAAAAGACCTAATGATTTTATTGAATTGCTTATAATTATCGCGAGTCATTTTATGCAATTTCTATGATTAAAATATAATTTATAATAAATAATCTATAATAGTACAGTGGAAGCATTGTGAAAATACATGCATGTATATTTTTGACTGAAACACAGTCACACAGTTCAAAAAAGATTCATTTTGGATGAATCATATGTCTGCATCTCCAGCAACGTGCGTACCAATGTGTGGGAAGTTATGACCGACGACCGTTGTGCGACCATCAGAACGTAAAAATCCGTTCCAAATATGGTCGAGTCGTTATAACTGGTTTCGATGATTTTACGAGAAAACGTCATATATTCGTTAAGATTTTAACTAATCATTATTACTTTTATTTCTATTTATTACTGAAAAATGTGAAAATTTTGTTTTATTTTTCTTTATAGTAAGTAGCCAGTTTACATTATTAAAATCATGTCAGTCAATTATGCAAACCATTATGCAAAATATTTAATAAAATGCATGTATATGTTTCATATATATTCTGTTTTATAACTATAAAATAATCGTTAAAACAAAGGAACATGCTTTTTTTGTGTACTAAGTATGATTATTTATACATTATCAAATTTTTTAATATATATTGAAAGTATTTTTTAAATATATATTATTGTTATATACATTAAACAATTATTAAAAATCAATCAAAATCAAAATGATGACGTTTGTAACTATGATCATTAGTTTATGAAGGGTTGGAAAGAAAGAACATTTTACTTAACACATGTTTAATGTTTCTAATCTTTTATAATAAAATATATATCAAAATTGCATGTGCCTAGATTAATACATCAGTAGTAAGTCAATTATTATACAAATAAAATTTATACATATATTTTTGAATTAAGGCAGTATCTGTGTTTGAATAATTTATGGAACTAAATGGTAATATGATATATTTGAGCAAATATAAACAGATATATTGTATAGAATTGATAGTTTGGAGATGTAATATCATTGAGGTAGAATATTTCAAACATTATGTACATATAAAGAGGGAAAACAACATTTGCTTGATATGTTTTGCTAAACCGAAATATAAAATTGGCATTAAGTCAATTCTGTTAATTTCCTCCTTTTATTTATATACATTAGACACTTCTCGATCAAACATTCGTAACAAAAATCTCGGAAAAGATTCTATAAAAAGTGTATAATTTGTACTAGTAATAAATATTTGATATAGAAAATGCTTTGTGCCAATTGGCAGAAAATAGAACCATACACATTTATGGTTTACCTTACTCTTTTTCTTTTGTTAATAAAGTATACTCTATTCAGTAGAGTATTGTTTCAAATAACCAATTGTTCTAGCTACATATACATGTAAAACATATGATTACCAACTTTCATCATATAGGGGAGTACCATCTCCACTTAGAGACATACTCCGGGGACTAGAATTTGTAAATGGAGTTTCTCTAGGAGATTTATAAGACGGAGTACGAGCAGATGGGGTTCTATTGCGCGGAGTTGCTCTCCCATTTTGAGCTTCTTGATTTCGTGGTGTTTTTCTAGATTCATTGTATCTTGGAGTAGTATTACTAAAATTAGAAAATGAATATTTCATTATGATTTTGATATTTTTTGATATATTATGATTTCATTGATTTTTGATATATTTTGATATAGACAACTTACAATTCTTTCGAAGATTGCTTTGATCGAGCCCATGCTTCCGCCGCTTTTGTCCAATTCGTTGCATCAGAAGTACTAGAGACAGATCTATGTGATCTTGCAGTTCTATGTGAATTTGAATTCATTGCTGGAGGAATTGGTTGTAAGAATGGTCCTTGAGAGTGATTAGGTGTTTGTGGATGATGGGGCGTGTGGTGTGGTGTATGGTAGGGGGTCATAAACGGAGTTTGGCCGGAAGGTGTATAAGGCGTACTTCCATACATTCCATAGTTATTAACACTAGCAGCTCCTGGAGTGTATGGTGGATAATGATGTGGAGTTTGATTTGCTACTTTTGAGAGTGAATGTAACAAGTGGTGTGGCATATTCTGTGCTACCCTCTGTATTGTATCTGGATTCACTCCTGAAAAAAAAGAAACAGACAAAAAGGAAGTTAATTTCAGTAGAATAAAAATTATCATAGGATCCAAATTCTTAGTAATATGAGACTCACCATTCACTCCTGGAGTACCATTGTATGGTGTTCTGGAAGTCATAGTTCCATGTGGAGTACCAGGTGTAGCTTGTCCTGGTATAGGATCTCTAAAGTGTTCTTTGAACCAGCGGAACAAGTCATTTATTCTACTAAACATTTGACCTCTAAATCGAAATCCATCAGGTATTACAGTAACATATTCATGACGGCAACGAATTCGTGGTAAATACGAAAGTAAAAATTTTCCGGGATAATTCTAAAATGTATAACAAAAAATATTAATTTAATTGAAAAATAAAAATTTTGAAGTAGGAATATAAGCAAATATTAAATATTTTCGAACATACTTTAGCTGCAGACACAATATATGGTATCCCTCCAGGATTTTGCTTCTTCTGTTCCTTCAAAATTTCTTCTGCTTTATCTTTAATGCCTTCTACACTTGTTTTGTAATATTTAAAATCTAAAAGTTCCGAAGTATAAGCAGCCATCGGATTAATATGTCTAGCGATAATTTCATCCAAATCTTCGAATTCTTCATTGCCAATCCATAAACTGCGACCCAAAGAAAATGTATTTTCTTTGCCTTCTTCCCTTATATCAATATGTTGATAAATATTTTCTGTGACTTTCCATGTTACGGTCAAATGATCGGATCCCTTACTGCTAGGTCGTATTATTGCTTCCCCTTGCTTCACAGTTAACATTAACTTTTCAGCTTCTGCAAAACTTATATTATGGAAACTAGGATGAATTATAACACGTTTTACATAAGTTTGTCGTTGTTGCAATTTTTTAGCATCCTCCTCTGTTTTTGTATCTTTTTCTTCTGCCTCTGCTTCATAATAAACGTCTCGCTGAGGTCTAAAAAGAATACACGTAAAATATTAATTGAGGAACTTGTTGAAATGATTATAAATAAAGTTATTATAATTATTTGTTGATACTTTACCTCCATTCGTGATTTTTATCAATAAGATCACTCGTCTTGCTAGTACATTCGACACTAAATCGTTCTACTTCGATCTTAATTATGCGACAATGAATTACTTGTCCGACACGTACTCTTTCCTCTGGATTAGCGACATGTTTATCAGACAGATTTTTTACGTGAATATATCCAGATATTCCATTATCCAACCTTAAACGAATTCCAGTTGCTTTTCCCGGACATGCACCGGCATCAAAATGATTCCATACCTCGGACAATTCTGGAAAATCGTTTTTCAAGCAAAATGGGCATTGCCATAATCCGGTTTCATCATTTCGAACAGGATTCGCTTGATCTAATTGATCTCCTTGAGGTCTTCTATGACTTATACCAACAACTGTTGCCAAAACTAATTTACCGACATAGAAAGTTTCCGGAGTTTCTTTAGTCAAAATATCAAATAATTTTTCAGTATTTAGAGATTGGTAAGGTACACGGAGGTCTTTGTATCTACAGTTCAGTTCAGCTCTTATATCGTAAAGAGTAATGCACTTGTTTCCAAAACCCTGTCTTTCAAGCTCCTCTGCAAATGCATCCAAATCTAAATCTTTTAATCTTTCTGGTGATTCAAGAATTTCTTCTAGGGCACCAGCAGGATTTGCATCTTCATCATCATACTCTAAAGCATCTACTGCCATTTTTCTTGCCCATTCATATGTCTCTGGATGTACACGTGAGCCATCTAGTACTTCTACATATGCCTCTGTGCTATCTCCTAAACTATTTGTATCAATTTTAATAAAACCAGCACAATTAACAAACACTTTAGGTCCCATATGACATGCTGTTATAAGCTGTGTTCTATTTTCTAGTCTTTGATTAGATTGTTTCAAAATCTTAATGAGAGCCTGTCCTTTTCTAGGTCCTAAGCCACACACAAATTGTACTAGGTTCGCTGTATAAGGCTGCTGAACTGCTTTATTTAAATCTACTCCTACTTCATTTATACGATTTATAAATTCCAAATATAAATTTTCTATAAGATCATCTTTAGGAAGTTGATCTTGCAAAGGATGATATTTAAGGCACAGAATTTCTTCATCTATGGTACACAACTGAGAGAATTCTAATAGAGGATCTTGTATTTTTCTTGCTAAAGATATAGCTTGTCTTAATACTTCTGGATAATCTCTGAACTCAGATATACCTCTGTTACTATTTGCATAAACTTTAGCAAGTTCATTGTCACATATTTCCACTGGGACTGTAGGAAATTTTTCTTCTTCTGCGAGATTAGCTATGCATTCTTTTATATCAGATACTATCATTAATGCTTCTCTAGATTCACCACTTACTACCACAACATGTGGTTTCTTTGTGGCAATAAAATTTTTGATTCCTAGTAAGTCTACCTCTTTCAATATCTTTTCATTTTCCCTAAAACTATTTTTACGTTTCAATAAATGCGGTAATCTTAGGTAATCAGTACATTCTCCTTCTGGAGAAATTATGCAAGTAAAGGCTGCTTGAGACGGATCAGGCACATATGCCAAACCCATCACACGAATTCCTTTGCTAGTATTCCAATCTTCGTCATCTTCATCAGGAAATTCACAAGCATATGGAGCAATTTTTATCCAATTGTACATTTTGCGGCAACACGCTTTCATAACGCATTCTTTTGCTTCTAACAAAAGATTGGATCTCAATTCTTTTTTCAATTGAGGTATAATAATCCGATTTAAAGCTACTTCAACACTACCAGTTCTTAATGCATTCCAATCTTGGACACTTTTACTAAATTCGTCCCTATAATATAGTTGCTTTATTTCATCGATATAATTATTGCTAGTATTTCCTTCTATCATGTCACTAAAGTAAAGTGTAATTAATTTATCTTCTTCTGCTATAATTAGTTTTAAGAATTGATCACCAACAAGATCCCGTACAGGCTTATTTTTAAGATATTTTAATCCATAAATGGCATGCCCTTCATCTATCTCCTTTATTCCTTTTTTAGTTGGTTTTACGGATACTTTTGCTCTTTCCATATACATTTCTCTAACACATTTACGAACTAATGGTTCGTGCGCCAACTGAATCGCAACCATTAATTGTGCAGCTTTAACTACTTCGTCACTTGTCGTAAATATTGCAGAACAAAATTCATTTGCTACTATTGCAGGTTCTATTGGATCTTGATCTACTTCATGACGTTGATAATTGTCTCGAAGATTTTCAGCAAAATGCTCGGGTGAGAGACCAAATCTTTTAGTAAATCCATCTAATCCAGCTTTTCCGCAAATATAGTAAGGACCTTTTCTAACCGGCTGCTTTAATGATTCGTCTATTTCTTCTTCTTCATCCTCTGCATCAGGAATTTCAGATAGATCTTCTCCATTTTCTTCAGCTTCTGCAAGTTGTTGCTTTCTTTTTTCCAATTTAGCTTTCCTTTGTGCTTGTTTTTCCTTCTTACGTGCAATTTCTTGCATGGATGACACATCCTGATTATAATACAACATAAAATGTCGATAAATATCATTTAATTCTTCAAAAGTATGAGCATTTTTAAGTCGTTCAATATCATCGTCCTTAATAACTCGTATGTTGTCGGGTAATGGAGCATCAGGATTTTTCATAATCTCATCTAATTGAAAATCCCTCATCTTCTCAAAGAGTTTCAATAAATTTTCTTTTCTTTGTTTCAAATAGCACCATTTTACGTCAAACTTATAAATTTTCCACAAATCGTTGATGTTTAACTCTGGCAACACATATTCTTTTCTATAAAATGCAATAAACGGAACTTCAAAGTTCTGATTACGCATAAAATCTAAGGCTTTCTTAATTTTGCCGATTGTTTGCGGACCCTTTTTAGCTCTTTCTTTGGCTTCTTCATTTAGATGAGAATCTTGTATTGAAATTGTTGGTTGGCAGAATGCCTGTTTATATATCCATTTGGCTTCAAGATCTAATTCATCCGAACCTTCCACTGTAGGTATAATGGGAACAGCGCGAAGTTGCATACGTTCAGGAATGTCTGTAGTACGAATCTAAAATAGACAAAAGTTATAATAGTATATATATATATATATATATATATATATATATATATATATAAATATAATATTAAATTTAATTATAATCACTGATGATAAATTAAAATTAATTCGAATTATTACCTCATTGTCTACATCGGTGAAGTGTCCGCGTATAAGTTCACTGGGTTCATATACTTCAAAAATACTTTTCCTTGTACTCTTTCTCTTAAGATGTTTTTTTGATGGCCTTGGGCGGTTTTCTATCTCGTCATGAATATATTCATCCTCCTCTTCCTCTTCAAACGCATCCCCTCCATATTTTCCAAATTCGTCATAATCAAAATCAATGCCAAAAATATCTTGGGCTTCTTGCAATGCACTATAATAAAAATATAATAAAAAAATAAATAACTATATCATAATGAAATTTTATAGTTTATTTTAAGAATAGAAACAGTACTTACGCATCTGAAAATACAGGTCTTTTCTTTTTCCTCTTTTCAGTTATGGGTATTCCATCACCATCTACAATAAAATCGTCTTCATCATCACTTTCTTCCTCATTATACCCTTCCGCTTCACCTCTATGGCTAACTTCACTTCTTTCTTCATCTTCCTATATAGCAAAATGAGAGTAATTAATTTTTTTAAATTAGTAAATTACTAAACAAGTCAAATATACATTTTACTTAAAAACTTACGTCTCCAGAACCTTGAAACAATTCGTTGGCAATAGCATCTCTTTCATCATTTATTTCTCTTTCTTCTTCCACTTCTGATTCTTCATCTTGTATTCTACGTAAACGCTTAAAACGACGTTTCTAAAAAATGATATAATATTTAAAAAATTGTATCAAATATAAATTTGAAATATTTTATATAGTTTTTTTTTCAACTATATATACCCTTTCAACTTTAACTCCTAAATTTTCTTCAAGTAGGTCATAATCTTCATCTTCTAAACGATCATCAAAATCTTCATCATCACTTTTTTTACGTTTTCTAGAATTATCACTATCCTCGCCATCATCATCATCATCGATAGAATTATCATCAATAAGTCCAGGAACTTCCCCTTCATCTTCTAAATATTAAACATACATATAATTTAAAGAAAGATGTTTTTAAGTATTAGTAAATATTAATTTACATATTATTAATGATGTATAAATCTTGATTCTAATATTTAATGCATTCTAAAGTAATAATGTATTTTCTAGAACCTTCAAAAGCTTTGAAAGAAGCAGTAACTAAATACTTGTTTGTATCAAACATTTTCATATACCTTCATCATCTTCATCCTCACTGTCCTCCATCTCTTTTAATTTTTTAAGTTTTTTCTTTTCTTTAACATCAAGTTGGTCCTCCTCCTACGAAATCATGAAACATTAGATTCTATGTTTACAAATGGCCGTATTGTATCATTTTATTACTTACCTCACTTTCTTGTGCTTCAATGTCCAAATAATCTGCCATCTTCTATTAGAAATATAAGAATTTTTCGAAAAAATATATAACAATATTAATAACAAAGAGCAATAACAAACGGAAGAATCCTATTATGGTGTAGGAAGTAGTGATGACATCAGTACAGCTGTTTAATACTGCACATCTACGGATACTGCGATCGTAAACTTCCTGAAACTGCCGTGGTGGGGGAAGACGCTTCTTTGTAGCATAGTTCCTTAATCCGCCGCTGCAGTACTATAAATAGCGGCTCTGCGATCGAGTTATAAGTAGTTTTATATAAACAATTATAAAAACAATTTTATAGTTAACCTTTGTATTTCGGACATTTTTTGATGTACTCACCAGAAACTCTGGCATATTTTTATAGTGAAACTTATTGAAAAAAAAGTTTTGCTTTGAAAGAAGAAAATTACAAGTTCATATGAATCCACTCACAACTCGACTGCAGCGACTTAATTTTGGTGGAAGATACAAGAACTTCATAAAAGAGGTCTACCCCATCATGAGAGTTCTTGAACCCGTATAATGTTATCTATATAATCGCGTGTTCGCAAAGAAATACATTTGTGTCCGATGTTCAATCAGCTGACTTGCAAGCAAGATAATTCGTCAAATCTCTTTCTTTTTCTTTAACTGTATTCACATAAATGGAAGTAAACTGATCACTGTAATACTTTCTTGATTCATAATTCGTGCCTGCTGTGATTTGTAAATTCCTCAATAGCGTGGTAGTGCACATTGAAACCAAAAAAGACGAGAACATGGCGAAACAACGTATGAAATGATCAGGATACGATTTTAAAACAAATAATTATTTAATCGGGATGACAACTAATGAAGAGTCCATAAATGACGGTCTCTTAGAGAGACTCGTAAAAAATGATGAAAATAAGGTTGTAAATTGCCGAAGTAGTGCAGATAACATAGAAGGGCACAAATTACGACATGGTACGGACAGTTTCCCCAATATCAATGAAAGACCGGTTGATGATATTTCAATCGAATTTTTTTATAAACCGCACAGCATCACATTGCTTCTCATCTCAATCGGTGCTGTAATATATTCCGCATTCACTAGGTAATTAAATATTCAAATTATCTTATTATACATATGTTAATTCTTGTAAATATCGGTATTAATTTAATACAGGAATACTACCAGTGTCGAGGATAACATTTGGGCTGGAATACTTTGTATTATATTTTTTTTTCTGATTATATCAATACTTACATTTCCAAATGGACCATTTACGAGACCTCATCCTGTCGTGTGGAGACTCGTATTTGGCTGTAGTGTACTATATCTAATGGGCCTATTATTTATGCTGTTTCAAGATTATGAAACAGTCAGAAAAATCTTTGTTTGGATAGATCCTCGCTTGGCGTCATTTCACATTGATATGGACAAAGAATACGGTGTTAATTGTTCGGAAATCACAGTTGAAAAGATATGGAACCATTTAGATATTTTTGCAGTAGCCCATTTTTTAGGATGGGCCTTTAAAGCAATCCTTATTCGTCATCTTGGTATTCTTTGGGCCATTAGTGTTATGTGGGAAGTAACAGAAATAGCATTTGCTCATTTACTACCAAATTTCGTGGAATGCTGGTGGGATGCTTTTATACTTGATGTTGTTGTCTGTAATGGTTTGGGTATTTGGGTTGGATTAAAAATTTGCTCTCTATTAGAAATGAGAGAATATAAATGGGTAAGCATCCTTGACATTGAGAGCACTACTGGAAAATTGAAAAGGGCAATGCTACAATTTACACCTGGTAGTTGGACTGCTATTAGATGGTTGGATCCAACTTGTACATATATGAGATTTGTTGCTCTATGTCAGTTGGTAATATTCTGGCAGGTTTCAGAACTAAATACATTTTTCTTGAAACATGTATACGAATTTCCACCCTCTCATCCATTTGTTGTGGCAAGATTGGTATTAGTTGGAGTTATAGTTGCACCTTCTGTTAGGTAGGGAAGAATTATAATAGAATAAGCTAGATATATATTAAACATAAATTTTTATTACAACAGCTATAACAATTTATTACATAAGAACCATAATATTTTAACATAATTATAGGCAATACTACATGTATGTAACAGATCCAACATGTAGTAGAGTAGGGACTCAGTGTTGGGTCTATGGTGCAATTATGGTTACAGAAGCTTTGTTATGCATAAGGCATGGTGCTGCATTATTTGAACGTACTCAAGCACTAAACATTCTTTTGTGGCTACTTTGCCAGTCCCTAATCTCAGTTCTTTGTGTCTATGGCTGTGTTCTGTGGCACCGGTACTTTGAGGTATTTAGTTTAAAAATTAAATTTGAAATTTTGTAACTAACTGTATGGTTATTTGTGTCTTTTTTTCTATGTCCTTTGCATGATTCTTGTCTTTTCAGACAGAAAAGAAAACTACTTCAAAACAGTGTATCACTCAATTAGACAACAGTCATCTGGATGTAACCCCTAGCAGTGGTATGTGTGATGTCTACTACATTCCTCTAAATAATGTTTAAGCCGATAGTGTACTGGGCTATTGACATATAATTAACTGGCTGTTAAATATAAAGCAAGAGTGTCATATAAATCATTTGCAATCTGTTATTTGACTGAATGTTATAAAACTCAAATAAATTTTGTTATGGATGCTTTTGTTTTTTGTTCTTGATATTGAAAAATATGAATTTTTATATCTGTTTACATAAGAATATATAGGTATATACCATAATAATAAGTGTAAAAATGATTTAAGAATAATTATACATATGAATGCATGAAAATATTTTTAAATTAATATACATTTTATTATATAAATATACATTTTTTGTCACAGCTCAGTCCATCATTGGTAGATAGAATATTGGACTAATGAATGTTTGTAACAATTTATGTGTGTTCTAGGGGACATGGTTCATTCTACAAAATCTATGGGTTTGCTGGAAAAGAAGCAGTTGTAAACAAATCCACAACAAGGAACGTTCGACTTAAGGGTGAATTATTTACACTGTCAAATTTTCTAGTCGCATTATAAGATCATACAAAGCCGCAGTTTCGAATGTATAGGCTGTTGAATACCTGAGTTCGTCTGATTTTTGCATACTGCGCCTGTTTGCGTGTGAATGTTATGAAAAATATGTTCCTGAGAATAAATGAAGAGCGTCGTTACCAATTAAAAACGCTTCCTTATAAAAAAATTGATCGTCGTATCATTTACGAATCGTAGTTTATACAATTACTGCGTCACGTTACGTTATCGTAGCTTCTTCGTTACATTGAATATACGGAAATGCACTGCATACATAACTTGGCATTATCCGTGAACCTTCTGGACAGTTCCACGTTTCACCGAGAAGCCTATTGTTGGATGCAGAAACAAAAATATGAATTCGATTTGGTAACTGTTCGTTCTCATACAATGATATATACGATGACGTAAGTGGAGACTTTGTACAGTACATCTATAAAAACCATGATAAAAAGGTAATGGTAATAGTCATAACGATTGTTATCTTATTCAAAATATCAATGCCATAAATCTTACTATAACAAGAGTACCTGAGCATAGATGAGGTAAAATAACTTATTGAAATCCAGTTCAAGCCATGGAAGATAAAGCCACGATTCTCTAGACATCAATTGAGCCAAAGTATCGTAGGCTAATCTGAGTCCCATCGCCTCGGACAGACGTTCATTTAGAGTCAATTGGGAAATCTAAAACGTGTTTAAACAAAAAGAGAGTTATTGCGTTTAAAAAGACGTACCTAATTAAACGTATTACTTTAAAATAATATTTTTACATCGTAACGATTTTATAGGAAGAAAAATATATGAATTCACCTTATAAAGTATGTTCTGTCCTGTAAATGATAATGTCATAGCCATAGAATTTTTATAGAGAACATTTCGCTGATAGTCAATGTAATCTTTGAAATTCATGTTTGTAGAATCATTATCGTTTAATAGAGAACTGGCATTGCGATTTCCATTCCAATAATAGATACCTAGCGATATATATTAAAAAAGTATATATAGACGATAAGATTTTTCCGAATTTTCTCGAAAGTATACTAATAAGTTACAGATCTATAACATTGGTCACTAGTATATTATAAAATTGTATATTGCTAATATACCAGTTGCGTCAAAATGATGTGCAATTTGGTGTGCTATTATGTTACCAAGTGTCGCCAGTTTTATGTAATTAAATGAAGATTCATTGTATTTCATGGACCAATCAATTACACCATAAGGTATTACAACGAGGTTTAATCCGTAAATCGCGAGCCCTTTAGATTGGTACGGTGTTGCGTAATGTGTCCATCTATATATTAATGTATATAGTTCAACAACTTTAAACTATTTCATATATATAATTTCAATTAAAAACTTACATTTGTGCAGAATACCCCGGCTTTGTAGATAATTCTGCATATATTAATTTTCGGTACCTTTGCATCAAAATCACTGAATTTTCGAAATAGTTATTTGTCAGATTTATCTAAAATTAGACTATCGTTAACATTTCATTCAATAACTTTTAGTTATTATAGTATTCTTTAATCTTTTTTTGATATTATATAAACAATTATGCACATGTGCTCATTATCTCATTAGAAACCGAAATAGTTTTTCGTACCTGATTTGCTAGAATTTTTCTATAAGTTGATTCGCTATCAGTATAGTATGAAATATCAGGTACGGCAACATTAAGATTATTTATTTTTGCAATCAATGCGTTACGTTCCGCTTCTGTAATCCATGTTACATTCGTGAGTTTTAATTTTAGGGTCTCCTTAAGTGTCTCAAATAAACTATATATCTATTAAATTATATGATACTGATTAGTCACCTAGTAAACAATCTTTTCGAGTAATCAGAGTATATGAACTTACAGTTCTATTCATATACGTAAGTTGATCATTTGTAAACGAAGAGATGTATAAATTCGAAGCTTCTGGGATTAAAACGTTGGCAGCTACGCGAAGGCAGTGTTTTTTAACATCTGGATGTTTTGATATAATTAACTAGAAACAAACAAAGACAAAAATGAAATGAAGAAAAATACAATACAAAAAAACAGACATAAAAGAGGACGTTAATCAGGGAATATAACTATACCTTGTGATACAGATTGTGTACATACAATCCTAATAATGCATTATGCAATGTCATCGGGTCATCTTCGAACTTTTCCAGATTTTTCAATCCTTTAGATAGGGCATCGTAAAAATAAACCTGCACTTTTACTTCCGGCTGAACCTTTTCGTTCGTTAACAAGTAAATTAGATGCGTCCAATTTATCTACAAGTATGTTACATAATATATCCATTTGATCGAACGAATTAGTTTAACTTAAACGGGTATAAACTCTCCCTTACGATTTTAAACTCGCTATCCAATTGTTTGACAGTGACGAGAGTGTAATTTTTCATAAGTTCCGCCTCGCGGATCTTGTTCTTAGACGGAAAATTCTGAAACATAAAAAAGAATCGAGGGAACGCGTTCGATTGTGAGAAGAACTCGATAAACTTACTGCGATAAATGATTGCAATATACACAGATCGATGTTAATGATTGTAAGATTAATGTTCTGAGCAATATTCGGCTCGTTGAATACCCCAAGCATCGTCAAGGCTTCGGTAATGGATTTTATTAGCTTTTTCGTATCAACCTAATAAAATAAAATAAGAAAGACACATTTGTTATAAGTTTTCATTAACAGAGCATGCTTTTTCTTGTCTCGATTGATATACATATCTATATATGTACTTTGCAGGTTTTATATTCCATATATAATTCTTCTAGATTCACCGTCTCGTTCTCTCTTTCAAATTTATTTGCGTAACAGGGTTCGTTATTTTCGTCTATCTCAAAAAGATCATCGTATGTCGTTGGGCTTATTTTAAGAGTGAATGTCGGAGAATATTCGTCAAGATCCGGAACTATGTCGAACAGTAAAGTGCTAAAGAATTAGAAAAGCAAACGATAAATATGTTAAGTGAACGTGATATGCTATAATTTTGTACAGCCATTGTCTTCAATTTCTTACCTGTTTTTTAATAATAGTGTAGCGAGTAGTTCGGTAAAGTTTATATGCTTTCCAGACCATGTTTTTTTAGTATAAAACTTGCCTACCTTGCCTAACGCCTCTCTCGCTATAAGAAAAACGTTATATTATTTCTTATACATTAAACTTGTATTCAAAGTTAGAAACTATATAATTAGATGTGTAATTTTTCCGTACCCAGCTTGATTCTTTCTGTCTGATTGATACTTTCGTATTGTATGCAACTGTTGTAATAGGCGGTGAAAATAGACGATATATTTTTCTCATTTTCTTCCTGCATTTGTCCTGATTCAAATTAAAACAATGTGTTGCATGTGAGAATCGCCATTTTTTAGATTTTTACTTCTTTTGTATACTTTTCTAAATAATGCTTCATAGAATACTTTATACAGAATTATTTAGAAAAAGGATTAGAAAAAAAGAAATATAATTTAGAAACAAAGTTAAATATTTAGTACTTGATATTACATAATATTTATCAATTAAGAATTGAAAAATATTTAAAGAATAGTTTATTGACAAAGTAATTTTTTTTTATATAGTAAAAAGCCGAACTATACTCACTCAAAATACGTTGATAAGCTACATCTTCCAAATTCCATTCTACGATTTGAGGATTGTTCTCGAAATTACCGCAAGCGTATTCATAAAAATCTTCACATGGATCAACCGTATGATTCATGTAAAATAATATCTTGCTGGCCAAATTTTTGCATTCACCCTCGTGACACACTGGCTTATCAATTGGAGAACTAAAAGTCGTACTTGTAGTCTCATTGTTTAATATCGAAGAATATCGTTCATTTTGTTGATCCTTAGTGGTAGATTTAATCGTGACATTTTCTTCTTTCATTGTCAATATAATAACATCTTCTGTCGACTCTTCGACCTCAAGGGGAGTTTCTTGATTAATATAATCTGAGTCAGTAGTAGTAAAACTTTCTGTAGTATATTGGTCTGTAGTATCTGTTTCTTGATTTTCTTTCGTCGAAATTGATGTACTATTTTCTGTAATATTAATACTAGTCGTCGAAGAAGTAGTCTCGATATTAGATTTAGATGAATCAACAATATCTAAATTTGTATCATTTATTACACGAGAGTTTTCGGTGAATACTTCAAAGTTTAATGTTGTTTCTGTTCCTACTTTTATGGAATTATCGAATTCTTCGGTTGCAGTTTCCTTGTAAATTTCCGTCTGTGATATATCTTCCGCAGTAGTCTCGATATTAGATTTAGATGAATCAACAATATCTGAATTTGTATCATTTATTACACGAGAGTTTTCGGTGAATACTTCAAAGTTTAATGTTGTTTCTGTTTCTACTTCTATTGAATTCATTTCATGCATAGAAGTTGTAGTAATTAACAATTTAATTGAATCCGTAGTGTTGGTTGTTCTTTCAGTTTCATGTTCTGTATGATGTTCGTGATAATGATGCTGTATCGATGTAATTATCTTTATCAAATTGTTTTCTGCCACAATTTTCATAATATCAAAAATAAGCTTACCTGCGCTGTTCCTGCATATTCACCTTTTTCTTCAGAATTGTAGGAGCGGTATAATTTCCATGGTAAACTGACTAGGATAAGAATCATACAGAGAAAAAAGAATATTATCAGTGATAAAACACAGCTTCTATAAGACTGGTCCCGTCTCGCTGCTTTGGCTGCTTCCATATTAGCAATTTGGTAAGAACCTCGAGAAATCATCTGTTAAAATATAATCTACTACTTATTCACAAAGACATTAGTTTTAAGATATAATACTTTTAGTAGTGCCTAAAAGCGCAGTATTTTTTCTACTGAACCAAACTCGAAACGTTAAGAAAAGAAAGGAAGTGGTAATTACAATTTTATCAACCACTTCCTTTTAAACATTATCTTAAAGTGCGCCCCAGCATCCGTAACACACGATATTATAATATCCTTTTGCTAATTTGTAAGAACGAAGAATGGAATTCTATTAGTACGCTAAAGGGGAATTGAGTAGAATGAAATACACTCACTGACACAAACATTTTTTTCTTTAATACATCCATAAATTCCAAATGGCCTAAGGAAGGCGACATTAAAAATATTTGAGATAGATAGATATAAGTTATTTATATTAATATATTTTATAATACAATTATCACAGATATGTAAACTACAAAATATTATATATACTATTATAAAATGCAATTTGCAATTTGCCAATGATCCCATTGCACGTAGTATGACAACTTATCTACAGTCTAGACTATATTATAATATTTAAATACAATTAAAAAATATATTTAAAAACTCTATTCGCCTGTCTGTTGTACCAAATATGTATCAGTGTTGCGTTTGATTTCATTGTCCGTTGCATCAGATTTAATAAGAGCTTCGATTGTTGAACCGATCTCTTTTGATACAGAAATGTTCTCTATCTTTTTGGTACAGACATCATCTTTATAATCATTAGACTTTAACATTTCAGAGGTGATCTGAAATAGGAATAAATATATAATAGTATAAGTTACTGTATAATAATAAGTAATAAATAACAATAAATGTTAGTTTTTCAAATTGTATAGTTATGTAATTACTTTTCTTTGTATTTCATCAGCCTTAAATTTCTCTACTTTTTCCTTATCAGCAAGCCCAATTGCAGTCTTTGATGATGTTTGTCTCTTTGGAGTAGGTTTCCTTGGTTTAAATGAACCAGAAGCTTTCTTAGGTAACTGTGAACTCATGTGCTTCTTAGTCTCGTTCGACTGATCGCAGTTATGAGTTAGCAATTGTTCTTTAGTTTTGAATGCCTATAAAAGAATTTTTAAACATAAGTATTCTACATGTGTTATGAATTTCCGACTTATCTAATCGAATATAACACTTACGTGTGAACAAATTTCACATTTTAAACTATGTTTATTCATTTCGTGATGTTTAAGAGCTTGTGCCCGATGGAAATTACGATTACAATGACTACAACTAAATCTTTTGATATTGCTGTGCGTCAGTAAGTGACGCTTTAATTTATCAGGTCGTGAAAATTCACTCATACAACCTAAGTAAGTTCTGAAGGGACACTTTAATCTCTTTGTTAGATCATGAATCAGCATATGACGACCCAAACGATCTTTTCTCTTAAATCTAGCTGGGCAATGCTATAATAAACGAATATGTATATATGAAATTTAAAACAATTTACAAATTTTTTAATCGGCTATAGAATCACTCACTGGACATAGAAACGGTGTTTCCTCGCTATGTATTAACTTATGATTGGCTAAGTATTGCTCAGTTTTAAAGGCCTTTCCGCAATCCTCGCATGCAAATCGCGCAGATGAGGCGTGTGTTTTTAAATGACGCCGCAAAAATCGTTCGATCAAGAAACTCTTTCCACAATGTAGACAAGCATAGTCATGCGTTGTGGTTTCTGTATGATGTTGCAAAGCCTCCAAATTAGAGAAGGAGGATTTACAAACAGAGCAACAGTAATATTTCTCTGTTGTTTTTTGTTTTTGGACGGAGTGAGCGTATTGATGAAGCCCAAGATCAGACAGAGTATTAAACACTTCACCGCATACATGACAACGATATTCCGATCTCTTATGACTGCGAGTATGTTCTAAGAAATCTTCGAGTTCAGCAAACATCATACTACAACTACTTTGCACACATTTGTACACTTTCAGTGCTAAGTGAGAGACTATAAGATGGCCCTTTAGAGCTTTGTACGAATCAAATATTTCTTTGCAAAACTGACAATGATAGGTGCGATCTATGCTTCCATCTGGTGGTGCCTAGCAATGATCATGAACTATTAAAAAACGAAAAAAAATTATAAGCTTGTGCAAAAATGTTTAAAATACCTCTGGGGGTAAGGAGTGTATAGCGGTTCCTGGCCATACTTTATGTGACGACATATGTTTTTTAACGTTTGATTTCTGTGCGAATGCACGTCCACACACAACACACTGATATGGTTTTTCCCCTGTATGAGAACGTTCATGTTGTTGCCAATAAAATTTTTTTGAAAATTGTTTGCTGCAATAACCACACTTATACTGCAATAGAAAATTTTTATTGATAAATATGCAACTTTAAATAAAGACATTATTGATAATCACAATTTATCATCTCATTAAAGTACATACTTTTAAGTTTTGTGTTTGAGTAGCGGTAGTTTCAGATTCTGTCATTGAATTTTCAGTCATTGGTACGTCGACTTTATGTGTATTATTAATGTTTTGTTCTTGAGAAATATCACTTTGGAGAACTTGAGGTACTTCGTTTGAATCATCTTTTATGGGATCGTTATCCCCTGGAATAGTAGAGTTTGCAAAAGTATCCAAACCTTCTGAACTTAATATAATTGGAACACTAAATGTGGAATCTGTTGTAAAGTAATTAGCACCTTCTTGATCCATACTATAGTAAATAAACGATACATCATTCATTGAGAAAAAAATACCTTTTCACATACATTAAACACATTCAATCATATGTATGTATATATGTATATATTTACCTAAATAGCATATCAGATTCTTCAAGTATAATTGGTTCACTAAGTTGATCATTTTGAACAAATGTTTCTTGTGGATGAAATTGTGATACATCTTCGCTATTGTCTTCTGTGTGAACAGTCTGAGTTTCATCATTCACCAAAAACTGACTCAAATCTACTGTTTGCTCTTGTGTTTTTTGATGTGTCCTTTTGTGCAGCACAAACATGTGTAATGATGTAAATTGACTTTTGCATTTTCCACATTGAAATATATCTTCCTCATCTTGATCGATTGCTAAATACAAAGCATAAAAATATCCATTATAAATTTATCTCATAGAAGCTTCTATGATATAACAATTTCAATTAATAGGTTATCAGGGCTACTTCATCAAAAACCCACCTGATTCTTCAACTTCAGTTATTAGAGTCTGAGACTCCAATAACGATTGCACAGAAGGACTGTCCAATGATACACCTATAAAGCAGACAAAATAATTATCATAAATTTTTAAAACACTATCTAAATTTTCTTTTAAAGAGAAAGATAAATAAGATACTTGTTGGTTAACCCCACCTATTTCTATGATAGAGAAGTTTTACCTGTTAAAGCGTCGAAAATAGATTGCGCCATGTTTTGCAATAATATTAACGCTTCATTTTAAGCGAAATCAACGATCAGACTTTCATGAATCGTTTAATATGAAGAAAATGAAGAATTTCCAAGTTGAAAACATACCGAGAATTTCTACGCCCTGCCAGCGTTGTTGCTGACCAGGCCAGCGAATGATAATCGATATGTCGACTACTGAAAACGATTCTAACCTCAAAATAGGACAAGTTGCTTGTAGCTTGCTTGTAGCGCGCTTGTAGTATGAATCTAAAGATCGGTCAAATGGATTAGAATAGGACGCATACTGGAAGTGCGTGTGTGAATATTTTCTTAGAGTAGTTTTTTGTAAAAAGGACATATAAGAATGGCAGCAATATTGCGTGTGAAACGTAGTTATTATGATGAACCATCAAATGCTTTGGTAATTTCATGTAAGCGACAAAAAATTGCGGAAGACGAAGATACCGAAGATGTACTATCAGATTCTATAACCACACTTGCTAAATTTGCCGGAACTGTAAAAGAGCAGGTTTGTGTTAAAAAGTGAAATATTTCTAGTTAACTGAACGTTATACTAAGATTAAGTCAATATTTATTTTATTATGACAGGATGAGAATGTGGAACATCTAATTCAAGGTTATGGGAAAGATGAATTACGAGCTAATTTCAAACAACATCCTATAGATACGAAACAGATTCTAAGTAAAATAAGAGAAGCAACAAAACAGGCTTCAGCAGAAAATCGTTACAAAGTAGTTAATTATTTCCGATCATTGGATAATTCTAGTGGTGAAAATCCCGAAAAAAAGGTTCCTACAGTAGTAATAGATGTGGAGGATTCAAAATCCATAGCAAGAAGGGATTCTATAGGAAAAGTAAACAATATTTTTTAAATATTTTTTTGTTATTTCAATCCATAATTACTTACATAATATAAATAATGTTTTACAGGATGATAATTATGTATATGATTTATATTATGTTCAATCTGAGAACGATATGTTCCTAGATGATGAAGTATCTATACATGCATTCGAACAAGAACTTGTTCATGATAGTTATAGAGATTATGGTTATCCTGAATCTGAATGCAACTCAGAGGATTCTAATTCAGAGTCAAATTGGAGAAATGATTATCCTGACTCTAGTTATTCTGAAGGATCAATTGATGAAGATGACATCAGAGAGGCTGTTATGAACATAAGAATAGAGGAGGGATCTGATTTATCCGAAGAAGATGATTTTGTTTATGCTATTGATGAAACTATTGTAGAAAATTTTGGTTACAAGTATGCAAGATATAAAGCAAGGATGTTGAAAGAGTTAGAGGAAGACAACACCGATGACGACGACGACACTGATGATGATCATGATGATTTTAGTATATGTGTGTCTGAAGATTCAGATGAGCATAATAATAATGAAGTAGATTCCGAATAGTTATTTAATTACATATAGACCTTTTTATACTGAAAGGAAATAATAATTGGTGATCAGTGATGTTAACATAATACATTTCCCAATATATAAAATAAATTCAGTTAGTGAAATCGATATGTCTTTTTGTTTCTTAACTAAAATTATCTTTCAAATATAAGTCTTATGTGTTTTTCCCACTACATACAAGTAAGGGTTATAAGGATCTTAGTATTTTATTTATGTCTATATATTTATTACATATTTATATAGATATATTTTATGTGTAAAATTTATCTATCAAAATAAAAACAATAAAAAGTAAACCTAGACGTCGAAGTGACAAAGGAAGGTGTGTGTATAGGTGTTTAGAAAAAGAACCGTTTTCGACGATATGGCATATAATAATATACCAAATTTATAATGTATAACAAATTGTTGCGTGGAAGTACCAGATAGTGATTTACAAATGTTCAGCAATAAAGTAGGTTCTCCGTTATGTGTTATTAAATCTTTCGTATTTATTTCGTAATGGAATATTGTGAATCTTGCTTTTCTTTAGACAGTAATTAGCAGGAGGCCTGTAAATAACATAACAATTACTTTTATAAAAGTATTTGCGAACATTCGCGTTTTATCTGACTATACTATTCGCCGAAATATGAAAACAATTTTTGTATAACTGAGATTTTTCGGATACGTTGCTCCAACGTTCAATGTTGGACAACGTTCGGATTACAACATTCGCATATTTATTTTTTCTTTTCGCTCTCTCTTTCTCTCATTCTTTCTCTCATCATCGAACGTTCACACGCGAAGAAACTCATGCCTTTAACGAACTCGTTATGTGATATGAATAGTACGCTGCGTATACGTGTAACACTGGCCTTAATTCTAATTTTTACATTTACGCGCTCGCAACGAATCCATTACTTGTATACAAGTACAGGCAATGCTTTATTTCTTTTTTTGATTGCAATGTAATGAAGCAAATGCGTTGGTAAGGATCCAATTATACCGTATCCGAAATTCGAAGAGAAATACTAGGGGCCATTAATTTATTTTTACTCTCTCGCTTGTTATACGTTCGGGACTGTTGGCAAAATGATAGGAAACGACACCGATCTTTCTTTCTTATGGCAGTCTGGATACAGTTATCAACGTATTTACTCACCGAGAATATGAGCGCGATTTATGGACAATGAAATCATCTTTTATATATATATATATATATATATATATATTTATATATAATATATTAAATGTCATATTGCAACTTAGCGTTTTCACAAGCTGGAAATTGGTATCATTTAGGATTATTACTATATCGTACCGTAATACTCTACTTGGCTACTGTACAACATTTTACACTCATCGTTTACTTTTCCGTAATTCCTTAGGTATGTTTCGATTATCAGTTACAACTACGAGATTATTGAAGAGTCATGAGATTGCACACCTTTCGTATCGGTCGATCGTGACGTACGAAATCAGCTGCACTGTGAACCTAATTGCAACCACGATCCCTTTTATACGTGGACACACATTCATTTCACAGTTTCACTTTGGTATATCCTATTTTACTTTCTCCATTAATATCCAATCTTATCTTTGCCTAATTGATCCAAAGCGAACCAGCAAACACCGTCACGATCGCCTAACTTTCCTCTTACTTCTACTAACATCCTAGCTTACGTTTAACGTAGCTTCTCCTTCACGATCGTTCACGCACCGCGTATATGTACACGTCAGATAACTGAATTTATAAGTACAAACAATTCCCTGGATTAACAGAAATCACACAACTAAATCGGATAGTCGGCAATTATATTATATATATAAACTGGCAACAATTAACAGTCCCATCGGTTGTCGAGAGTCTTTTTAAAGTACCGACGCCTCGGTCCTGTTGCTGGGAGGCGTCGTCGCATGACTGCTCGAATTATTATTATTATTATTATTGTTGTTGTTGCTCGCCTCGCCGGCATGACTCGAGCAGTAGAACTTCTTGTGAGCAATGAACGTGCTCAAGTAATTGAAGCTGATGTCGCACGACCTGCAGTAACGCGGACCGCTTTTGTTGGGATCCAAACTTTCTTCGGGAGGTGGAGTGTCCTCGCGTTCTTGCTTCACCTTGTTGGTTACCGTCGGTGGTGGCGGTGGTGGCGGTGGAGGTGGCTGAGGACTCTTCCGAACTTCGGTTTTCCCATTTACTTGCACCTCGCCAGGGATTTCTTCAGGAGTCGTAGCTGGAGCCGGTTCTGGAGTCGGCAGAACCGTTTCGTCGTCGAGTACGCACGTTATGTAATTTTCTTCCTATAAATGACAAATGAACAAATATAAGCTCATCAAAGGATTTACCAGATGAAGATTGTTTTTGTACAATATGAAGAGATCGTTCGAGTCATAAGGACATCGATAAATCAGGGTATGGATTATATTTTCATAACGTTGATTATCTGAAAAGTGAACAAATTCGACAACAGTAAGAAGCTTTTATTAAAATTTTGTACCTGTAGATCGGTTCCACGTTTCTCAAAATGCATTTTGATGTGCGTTCTCATTCCCCGTAACGTATTTCCTTTGTAACGACAGATCGTACACCTGAAAGCCTTGACACCCTGATGAGCATCCATGTGACGTTGAGCTGCTCCGGCTGTTGGACTAACCGCACCACAAACGGGACATCTCCAACCTCCAGTCGGTCCGCTGCTACAGGTATGGGTGCCTCCAGGTTCAATTATAGTCTGAAAAAAGGATATTAAATTTTCAGTCTTTAGAGAAGTATATAATATTATTAAAAATATAGTATCAATGGATATTCTTTAAATTGAAATCTAATAAAAAATTATACTACTAATTTTTTATTAGTAACGATACTAACTTTGCACTTGGAGCATCGCGAATGATGTTCCTGAGGTTCTGGCCTTTTGGGACAGTAAAACGCTTGATGAGCTACCAGATTATCCATAGATGCGAACTTGATACCACACGCGGCACAGATTAATTGCACCAAAGGAGGCGAGGGTGTTCCAGGTGGTGGAGGACTATTGCTGACCGTTGTCTCTCTTGCCTGACAATAATGCTTTTTATGTGCGACGAAGTTCTCATGCCGACAGAACACGATATTACATTCTTTGCATCTGAAAATCGAACAGTTTTCTATAATTTCCGGATCACCTGGATCCTTTTACGTATCAGTTATATACAATAAGCCGAATTACTTATCAGTTTTTTGACTGATCAATTTAAGATTAAAATACTGAAACATTTCAATTATTATTTATTATACAATCGAGAGAAAAAGAATTTATCGTTCTTTCGTTGTTTTAGTATTTTTATCTTAATCTATTTTAGTTTCGTCTATTTTATTATCATTAACTACATGAAACAAATCGTCACATTGTGTTACGAAAACGTCAGAGTATCTTACCTCGAGACACCTTGCTTCACAAGAACCCCAGGAACAGGGGGTGGTGGAAGTTCGGCCAGTCTGAGAGCGAGTTCCGTCGGCGGAGGAGGTGCAACGGTTCCAGTAGCCGTAGGAGCAGAACCAATGGACCTTGCTCTAGGACTTCCGCTTCCTCTTGACCTAGGACTACCAGGTGGTGGAGGTAGAGAAGAGGGTGCCGGCGATACCCTGTTCTCTTTTTCATCTTGATGAGCTGGTGACTTTCTAACGCTCAAATCGAGTGGCGCTGAACCTGATGGCGACGTCGACGATGCCACGACGGACGCTGGTGTCGTTGGTTTGTTCGCTGCTCGGAGAACCGGCGAAGGTTCGACCACGGTGTTCTGCGCTGTGGTAGCCAGACCTCTTGTCATCGGTTGAAGATGACCTACAGAAGAGTGAGACTTGTCAGTTTAATTCTTGGAATTCCTTTTTGCATTTTCGTGGGTATGAGATTCATAAGTTTAACTCGTATATGTATTCATAAGACGCGAATTTAACTTCATTAAGATTTCCAAT